TGGCATAATATTGTTGAACGTCATCATCAGCAGCATCAGCCATGCTCAATCCACTGCCGGATGAAGACCTCGTCAATGCGTTGCCGTCTGTCACGGTCCTGCGGTGGCAGTGTGCTGGGCGCAGTGTGCACGGCGAAGGAGGCGGCACGCTCCCTGGTGCTGGTGGTAAATGCCAGAAGTGCCGTCCAGTGACTGCTGCCAGTATGCATGTACTGTGTGCATGTTGAACCTCTTTCGCACTGTACGTAGCCAACCGTGCTAATCGGAGGTGCGAGGAAAGGACAACAAACTAAAACACAAAAAGCAGTTCTCAAGAAATGTGTTTTCAATCGAAGTGATTTAAAAGTGCATAGCTCCAGTGGCTTCCGAATATCGGAAGAGCGTTCCAGACGGCTGCAGAAGCGCATCTGAAAGCGTGCGACGTGGTGACCGGCGTCTTTGTTCGATGGTCAGCCAACATCTGTTGCTGCGAGGTTCACCGTAGTTCGCGTGATGGTTTAAGCTCCTTGACGAGATCAGCAAGGGATTGTAGTTCATTTGTGGCAAGCGCTCTGTTATGTATAATGAGCCCGACCCTATAATGCAAATCGTTCGGCAACCGGAAGCACAATGAAGCTCGGCGAGCACCGGGCAGACGTGTCGGGTCTTGCGACGCGTGCCAGGGAATGGGACAGTCGTTACCGGCGCGCGCTCCTCGGATGTGCGGGCAAGGGGGGTGGGGGCACGTCCCACCCTGGGCGTGCGCAGATGCCGCGCTCGGCCACGCAGGCACAAAGCGACGATTCTAATCGGCGCGAGTGGGTGGGGGGTGCCCCATTAAGCTGCCCCCCCCCCAACCCCCCCCAGAGGTGTGAACGGCAGTAAAACGCAAATCACCACGTCCAATCACGCGGCGCGTGCTGGGCACGATCGTGACCGTGGGCCGCACCGCCTCCGTATTCCAGCGGCGGTGCCAATCTCCACAAGGCTGGCCACTGACCACCCGAGATCTTGGCGCAGTGAGGACCCGAGCGAGCAAACTAAGCAGCACGCCTCTCTCACTTCCTGCGTTGTTATTCTGACTTCGTGACAACTCTCGTCCTGACGAGTTCTGATGCAGTCCCAAACGAAACGTCGTAACCCAGCCCCGTAACATTTAGTCGTGGGAATTGGCCCTTTGACTTTGCCGGGGAGCTGAAACATTCACAATTGGTGCGGCAATGTATTTGTTTTGGTTACCTCGGGGTGGTTGAGGGTCTTGACACAGATTAGGCCGGATCATCAACTCGGCCCAAACCAAGCGTGAACTTACGGGACACCCATTGAGCCACAGGGCGACTTCCTCAAAATACGCCAAATGCACTCCACCGAGACAACGCGCTCACTGTGTGGTGGGTGGTGTGCACGGCGCAAATTACCTTGGGAATTTAGAGAATGGGACGTGGCCTCTTCCTCCTGCTGCTGCTGCCGTGTGGCAATCAAAGCCCCCAGTCAAGGTCTGCACCACCCCACGCGCTCCGTGGAGCGACGAGCAGCCAATGAGCAGCCAACGAGCAGACAAAGTGCAGGCAAAGAGCAGTCGAGGAGCGGCCAAGGAGCAGTGAGGCGCAGCAGTGAAGCGTCCCAAACCCCGCGTGGTCACGGACCTCGCAGGAACGCGACGCGGGGCGAATCGCAGTGCTCATGCTCGCGGCCCTTACTTTGGGACCGCACTTCTTAACGCAACGGGGAGTTGTGAACCAGAGGTCACCGGTTCGACCTCCCGTCGCGTCAGTCAACTGTCTTATATCATCCCGCCTCTGGTCCGTGCGCTTGTTAAATCTATAGATTTAAAACTCGTTTCTTCAGAACTTATTTTTTTCCTGTTTCGTTTGGTTGTCCCCCGCACCTCCGATGAGCACGGTTGGCTATGTGCGGTGCGAGAGAATCTCAACAATACGTACATTGTACATGCAGTGTAAATGGGTACAACCGTAGCTCGTCGTGGTTGTGGTTGAACGTCTGGTCAGTGTGGCATAATGACGGTAGGGCAGAGGAGTCGTCTCCACGTTGGCCACTCTCCAGAGGAGCGAGGGGATGGCGCAGGGCTCGGCGGGACCGCGTGGCTCCCTCCATTACCGACGCCGGATGCTCACCGACCGCGCTGGCAGAACGCGCCCACCTCACCCACCTCACCCACCCCACAACAACCGTCATTCGCCACTCAGTGGCGGTGACGTCACCACGACGCTTGTGCCAGGCTATGTGCACGTTGCGGCCACGTGAAGTGTTGAACGCCCGCTGGCAGGAGATTACGGGGCAGACCCAGCAGGTGCCACGGGTCGACTGACTGAGATGACTGGCTGATGCACCACCTGTGCCCCTTACTGTGCTTTATCCACCCGGCGCGCCGCTCGTTGTTGTGAGCGTCGCTCCTCCCCACTCCGTTGTTGTTGGAGGGCGACTGCCTCCAACTGCCCAGTAGCATCCTTCACGAGCCTCATCCACAGTGGCCAATCTTGACACCGCTGGTACCAGTCATCGGCAAGTCCACTCAGCTCCACATCCTCCCTCCTGTACCATATCACTCCATCTCTTCTCTAGCCCGTGCCGCGCCAGTTTAGCCTCCTCTATCCGGCCGAACAAAAGCTGTTTAGGCATGCGGTGGCTGGGCATGCAGGCTACATGACCCAGCCAATGCAGCCTTGCCTGCCGGAGGAGCTCACCGATGGGATTTAATCCAACCTGGTTAAACCCAGAATGGATCGTAGGCAGGCCAGCCTAAATGTTTCTAACCGGCGAAGATGTTCCATTAGGGGGGTCAACGTTTCGCAAGCATAGAGAAGGGAGGTAATGACTGTGGCCGAGAAGACATGAAGCTTCGTGTGGAGCAACAGACCAGGCAGCTTCCACACAGCGTTACGCAACAGATGAAAATATAATGTCGCTCGACTGATTCGGTGACCTCTGCTGTCAAACCTGATCCAGTCATGTGCACACTGCCCAGGTATGGGAAACTCGCCACTCTCTCCACAACTGCCCTATCACCAATTGGGAGTTGTGGGGGTGGAGTGTCTGATGGTACAAAATACCCAGGCAGGTGCTTAGTTTTGGTGGGGCTGATGGTAAGTCCCCACCTCCAGGTTCAGCAGCAGCGCCTCCAACTGCTGCTCACTCTGAGTTAGCAGCAATTACCAGATCATTGGCATACATAACATGTTCTTGGTTCTTTCGGTAAAGTCACGTAGATAGGTTCAAATAAAATAACAAAAAACTACGACGTTTGGATCGCAACACAAGCAATCGTCATCAGGAGAAAAAAGAGCAGGAAAGCTGCTGAGGCAGAGAGTCGAAAACAACTACTAACATCGGAAGGTAGGATGGAATCATCACAGCGAGTTATGACTTAAACTGGTGATTGCTCAGTTTGTATCCATCTTCTCGGTTGTAATTGTGTCTGTGTCCATATATATATGGATGGCTTCATGAACGAATCTTTGTTGGTAGCCAGTGGGCTTGCAAAGTACCTGGCCCATGCCTTCCAATCACTCCAGACCAGGCACTAGCATCATGACCAACTTGGGCATTGAAGTCACCCAACAAGATGACTCTATCCCGAGGGGCCACTTTCGCCAGCACCTGTGACAGGAGGTCATAGAAGGCATATGACTGATCCCTCCACGGATGTTCGTCTTTGGTGAGGGAATATGAAACCACGACCACCACTCCTCGCCTCTGGTTGATGGGAAGGTGAGCCCAAAGTAGCCTGGGGTTTACAGCTTTCCACACCTCACTGCCATGCTTCCACGCTCCCTTAATTATTTTGTTCAGAAGAAGAGCCACTCCCTGTTGTTTGGCAGTCTCCTGCCCCGAGTAGAGGACTGTCCACCCCTCATGGTGGCAGGAGCCAGAGCCGGTCCACCGGACCTCCTGAATACCACAGAGATCCAGGCAGTATTGGTCCAGCTGCCGACAGAAGAGTGGCAGCCTCTTCTCCGCAGTGAGCGTTCGAACATTCCACATGGCCATCCATCGTGGCTTTTTGTTGTTTCTGGAGGAGCCCTGAGGGTTCTCCTGGCTCCGCCAAATAGGGTTTGGCGAGGAGACGTCATCGACGCCCGTCTCCCCGGGGCCACCGGCACAAGCTTAATAAAGGTTTTACCTCATAGTTTAGTGGTAGTTAATTGAAGGTGGAGGGGTTACCAACCGCTCGCACCCGTCCAGAGCCCCCATTTGGCCGCTGTGGTGGTCACAAACGCCATGAAGGGACAGGCCAATCAGAATTGTCCCTCCTCCCACGGCACTGCCCACCACAACGTTGCCGTCCAGCACCACAAGGAGGTAGGGAGTTGTTTTGCGGGACCCTCACCCACCCCACCTCACCTCACCCACCCCACCTCACCTCACCCACCCCACCTCACCTCACCCACCCCACATCACCCACCCCTCACCTCACCCCACCTCACCAACCCCAACTCACCTCACCCCACCTCACCTCACCCACCTCACTTCACCCCACCTCACCTCACCCACCTCACCCACCTCACCCACCCACCTCACCCACCCCACATCACCCACCCCTCACCTCACCCCACCTCACCAACCCCAACTCACCTCACCCCACCTCACCTCACCCACCTCACTTCACCCCACCTCACCTCACCCACCTCACCCACCTCACCCACCCCACCTCACCTCAACCACCTTACCCACCCCACCTCACCCACCTCACCTACCCCACCCCACCTCACCCACCTTCACCCCACTTCAACCACCCCACCCCATTTCACCTACCCCACTTCAACTACCACACCTCACCCACCCCACCCCACCTCACCCACCCCACCTCACCTCACCCACCTCACCCCACCCAACCTCACCTCATCCACCCCACCCCACCTCACCCGACCTCACCCACCCCACCCCACCGCACCGCATCCACCCCACCTCACCCAAACCATGCACCCCACCTCGCCCACCCACCGCACCCACCCCACCCCACCCACACATGCGAGCACACGCGGCGCTCTTCCAGCCACGGGTTTCGTTGTTTTATTCACCGTTCAGTAAAATAGTAAATCTGCTGGTCTGACTGCACTAGCGACATCCGTGCGTAGGGGCTGCTTGATGCGCAGGACGGATCGAGCCTGGAAGCTCGCGCCCGCGTGGATGTTCGCGATTTTCCTCTGCGACGGTGATTTTTTTGTTGTCGTTTCAGAAACCCGCATTAATGAGATGCCATTGACTTAGAGTAGACAGGTAAGGAATACGGTCTTTAGTTGCCACTGAATACATGTGCAGGGATACATATTTGACGATGAAAGTTCGGTTATAATAAAATAGAATGTGTTTACCTTCATTATTTTAAGGGATAAATATTGGAATACCGTTCAAACACTCGCCGATTACAATCCATGCACCAGGCCACCGAGCACGCAATCGGCCAGCAGTGGCGGCTGTCGGTGAAACGACCTTGACAGCGATTTGGGAATCAATTTGAGACGTGCCAATGGCTGGCAACCTACACACAATGCAGGCACATCGTGACGACACCAGACAGTCCACGAATACCATATTCAGTACTTTCTCTGAAAATGTTTTTATTTAAGTGCCCATATTTGATCTATCAAACTGATATTAAAGTAAAAACTACTTTACCGTCGTATTATAATTAGTTATCCATCGGAATACTATTCAAACACTTTTTATATATATATTACTATACACCATTGTTACCCAACAAATTAAGCAAGCAAGTGATTGGTAGACTTTGTGTATAGGCGTTCTATATATAAGGAACATAGACGGTTACAGAAATATATTTGTAAATGCAATTTTAATGTGATTGAAAGAAGTGTGTCTCGCGTGGTTTATCGGGGGTTTGCGATATAAACGCGTGGATGCAATGTGAGGGGGACGTTAACAAAGCTATAACCACAGCCCCGATTGGGCCTCGCGGTGATGGCATCTGTATATACCTGATAATAGGGAAGGGGTTAAGTGAGGATTCCAATTTATAACCCTTTGCTCGTCCTTCACCAGAACGGGGTTAAGCACGAATTGTGGCATTTTTTTTAAGTGACAACAACGATGCACAACAACACAAAAAAGAAGCAAAACGTGAAATGAGACCTCGAAGACGCGTCGCCCACGTTGAGCGGGACGCGAGAGTCACGCCGCTGGTAAGCCGCGTGGAGGTGACACGAGATGGGACCACCCCCCCCCCCACCTTCTCCCGTGGTGGCCGTGGCATGAGCGTCAATCGCCAAAAGTAACGAGAATGCACGACTCGGGAATTGCCCGGTGATGCGAGCGAGCAGCCGCCAGCCCCAATGTCGCTCGCCAGATATCTCTGGGGGTCACTTTCCTGGACCAACGCTTGATACTACGGGCGGCCGCTGGGCAGCATCGTTCATCGACAGCCCCTCTTTTTAAAATGCACACTCAATGGCCGAGGCTGTACTGCGTGTGCACACAGCAGTAGCCCTTATAGCTTTAGGCTGACATACGCACCCCCCACCACCAGATATCACAGTCACGTAACGGGGAGTGTTTTTTGTTGTTGTTCCACGTACCGTACACGCTGCGTGCGCGCGCGGCGGCGGTGTTAAAGGAGGAGGCTGTGTACACACGACGCGACGGCGCACCCCTCTATACAATTACAAAAACGGCAGCACCACCCCAACTCGAGGAAGGAGAGGAGGAGTGGGAGAGCTCCGTCGCGCGAGTCAGAGGCGAGTCTGTGCTTCAGGGATGTAGATCTCGATACTGTCGGCGCTCTCCGTGGCCGAGTTCTGTCGCATCGATGCGGCCCTCTTGGCCGCCAGGAGCCGCTTGCGCGCCTCCACGCGCTGCCGGTCCGCCGCCTCGGCCGACTTCTGGCGGTAGAGGGTGGAGCGCCCGCGGCTCGGCTTGCGCGACATGGGGGGCGGCAGCTGCTGCTCCTCCTGTAGGACAGCAGCAAAAAAAACACGACGATGACACTGCCGCCACCGCCACCGCAGAACACAGGCAACAGCAACATCGTTAGTCCAGGCATGAAATTGGGGTGAGAAAATAGTATGATGTACATCCGTGTGTGCGCGTGTGTGTGTTGAACTTCTTTCACACCGTACATAGCTAACCACACTAATCGGGAGGTGCGGGGGGGGGGTCAACAAACTAAACACAAAAAGCAGTTCTGAAGAGAGGCGGTTTCAGTGTAGATGATTTACAAGTGCATAGCTCCCAGTGGACCCCTAACATCGGAGGGAAAAGCATTCCAGACGGCTGCAGAAGCGCATCTGAAAGCGCCACGCGATGCGGTGACCACCGCCTTTGTTTGATGGTCAGCGCCAAGAGCCGTGTTGTGACTTCAAGGTTGTGGCAATGCCACAACCTTGAAGTCACACACGAAATGCCCCTTTTGATGAACGTTTTTGCCGGTTCTCGAAGCGGGACGATTCCCCGACTTCAACACAAACTCGGTCACGAAGCTCGGGGCCGCTCTCCCATTGAATAGTTCATCAACAAAGTGCGAGGAGAGCGCCTCCCCTCCCCACGTTACAGGCTGACAGGTGACCCTGCGCTCTCGCGTACATTTATTTTCGACAGTCCTTGTGATGCGTTGACAAAGTGCAACTTCAGGCGAACCTTGCATCTCGACGTCGTTGAGCTAGATAAATAAATAGATGCAGAAAAAAACGCCCTCGCCACGTGCCACATTCTGGATTCGCAAAGTTTTTCATATTCGCGAGTTACAAAATGTCGACAAGTTCCCGATTCGCGACCCCGCCGGACTCCAGCATCCGCGAGTTGCACTTAGTGCCTGCAGACCACCCACACCGGGGAGGTTCACGCAGAATGCCCCTTACTGTACATGTGACTACTGTACATGTTGCTACTGTCCATGTTCCTACTGTACATGTTACTACTGAACGCCGCTTCGGCTGTCCGCGAAGCCCTCAGTCTCGCAGTCATCCCTCTCCGAATTCGCCATTGTGCATTTAAACTTTTGGACGAGGGGACTCGCAGTCGACTCGTCTATCCACGTTGGTATTGATGAGTCGACTGCGTTACAAAGAACGCGAATGCATTCAGGGAAAGTGTTTGCGGGTTGCGCACTCCCCCACAGTGCTGAAGTGATAACTGCGGAGTTGTTTACCAATCGCCTGCGTCTGCCGTGGAGTTATCCTCCTGAATTCCTCACCACCACCTCTCCATCGCCGTCAAATCATCCTCATCCGTTACAAAAAAATATATATATCTGTTTTTATTACTATTTATGTATTGTAGTCATTGTTATTAAGCATTTACCATTTCCCCACCTGTGTTCACTCGTACCAGGGATGTAACCACATTTTTTCCCTATTGCAAACGAGGGTTCCTGCACTCGCGAATTCTGCATCCGTGAGCGTTTTCGAGAACGTAGCCCTCGCGGATAGAAAAGAAGCGTTCACTGTCATGTGCGTTAACGTTGAAACAAATGTCTACAGACTTTGTAAAGATGTGTTCACCTTTCTACACGTGTGTGTGTGCTTATTGCCATTTTTAAGGATGGCATCTTCACTATTCTATCTTCCTGGCATAAGAAGAAGCGAGTTTCATTGATCATCATCCACTTAAAAGACAACACGTGAAACGCTGGCAGGGAATGACAGCGTCTGAGCAGGTGAGCCATGACGTAGAGACGTGGTTCTGCGAGGCTACCTGGACTTCCTCCGCGTCGGCTTCCTTCCACTGGTTGACCTTCAGCTGCTGTAGCTCCCCGAACTTCATGCCAACGTCCTCAATGGCCAGCTGCAGCATGTCCCAGAAGCCGGCCAGGTCTTGCGACGTGGGGTGTGGGTCTGCTGTAGGGTTCTGTAAAAAAAAAAAATCAGTTACATTATTGCGACGGATACTTTTCCGCGGTGATGTTGCTAAGCTGCCCCTCACTCACTGTTTCCTAACTCTCACGCGTATATCTTCTCATCACATCTACTGTATGTTTCTTCTGAATGCATCTCCTATCTCTGATCAATCTCTTCCGGCACTACCACAAAGGAACTTCATCCCCCTGCCATCCATGCTGCTGGCTCCCTGCCCTGTTCTAGTGCAATCTCAAGGACCTCCTCTCTGTCTACTCAGTTTTCTTTACCTCAAAATGTGAAATAAATGAACATTCCCGCTGGTCTAGCCGCGATGCTCCCACGCTTTTTGTAGAGCGGCTTGAGATGGAGTGGTTCCAAACTCCACGTTGTGATCGTAATCAAACGGTCGCTGTCGCTGCATCCGATGCTGGTGCCGTCGGGTGCACCGGTTGCAGCCCACGCACCAAACACCGGAAAAGCGGACAAAGCGACGCCGCAGGACAATCGCATTGAGTTAGGCAGCAGCCGCTGACTGCAGAAGGCGAGTGCAGCAGCAGCGGTCTATCACGGTCCTCCGTGCGACAGGGCCACGAGTCGAGAGTAATAATACTCTGTTGCGTGAGATTGCACTATAACTGTGTACGCTAATGAAAAATATAAGAACATGCTTTACCCTTTCTGGTGTAGGCCAATCAGTTGCAAAGACAATGCCATGTATAATTATCAAAGCATGTTCAACGCAAGTATACAAGGTTCATGCAGCCTTGATTTCTTGCCAAAGGTGTCTAAGTTGGTGTTTGAACAACTTAAAACCTCCTGTTTTATTGCCAGAAAGGGTAAAACCTATTCTTATTTTTCATAAAACTAAATTTGTGTCAAGATGTTCAAACACCAAATATATCCCTTTTGCAAGGCATCAAGTCTGCATTAACCATATGTACTTGTGGAAAAGCATGCTCTGATAATACATGCCCTGATAATAGATGCTCTGATTATACATGCCCTGATAATACATGCCCTGATAATACATGCTCTGATAATAGATCCTCTGATAATACATGCCCTGATAATACATGCCCTGATAATAGATCCTCTGATAATACATGCCCTGATAATACATGCCCTGATAATAGATCCTCTGATAATAGATGCTCTGATTATACATGCCCTGATAATACATGCTCTGATAATACATGCTCTGATAATACATGCCCTGATAATAGATCATCTGATAATAGATGCTCTGATTATACATGCCCTGATAATACATGCCCTGATAATACATGCTCTGATAATACATGCCCTGATAATACATGCCCTAATAATACATGCTCTGATAATAGATGCTCTGATTATACATGCCCTGATAATACATGCCCTGATAAAACATTATCTGATAATACATGCTCTGATAATACATGCTCTGATAATACATGCCCTGATAAAACATTATCTGATAATACATGCCCTGATAATACATGCTCTGATCATATATGCTCTGATCATACATGCTCTGATAATACATGCTCTGATAATACATGCTCTGACAAAACATGCTCTGATAATACATGCCCTGATAATACATGCCCTGATAATACATGCTCTGATCATACATGCTCTGATCATACATGCTCTGATCATACATGCTCTGATCATACATGCTCTGATCATACATGCTCTGATCATACATGCCCTGATAATACATGCTCTGATCATACATGCTCTGATAATACATGCCCTGATAATACATGCCCTGATAATACATGCCCTGATAATACATGCTCTGATAATACATGCCCTGATAATACATGCTCTGATAATACATGCCCTGATAATACATGCTCTGATAATACATGCCCTGATAATACATGCTCTGATCATACATGCTCTGATAATACATGCTCTGATCATACATGCTCTGATCATACATGCCCTGATAATACATGCTCTGATAATACATGCTCTGATAATACATGCCCTGATAATACATGCTCTGATAATACATGCCCTGATAATACATGCCCTGATAATACATGCTCTGATCATACATGCTCTGATCATACATGCCCTGATAATACATGCCCTGATAATACATGCTCTGATAATACATGCTCTGATAATACATTCTCTGATAATACATGCTCTGATAATACATGCTCTGATAATACATCCTCTGATAATACATGCCCTGATAATGCATGCCCCGATAATGCATGCCCTGATAATACATGCCCTGATAATACATGCTCTGATAATACATGCCCTGATAATACATGCTCTGATAATAGATCATTCACTTTGAAACTGATTGGCCTACACCAGGCTGTCTGGTGGTTTTAATGCCAGAAGGGGTAAAGCCTATTCTTAAATATTTTTCATCATTTCGACACTGGAAAAAAGGTCCCATAGAATGTGTACGCTGCTTACTGCAGAGTGCATTGCACATTAAATACAATGTTTACTGCAGCGTTAGCTTGGATTCGGCAAAAATGCTCGCGCTCAATCCGAAAGTCGCAAAAAATGTCAAAGTGTGATGTTACTCATTCCCTGCTTGGACACCTACAGGAATTAATTCCCACTTCAAAATCCTCCGACTCACCCTTGGGAATAGGCGTACAACAAGCTGTTTATTTTGTCATTCCTATGTAGCAATGGTAAACGAGAGCAGATTCAGAAGTTTTATCAATTATGGGGAAAATGGGTAGGAATCCATTGGATGTCATCTGGAGAACGCGTTCAATATAGAGCAGTTTCCTGTGATGTTCAGAAGTGTCCGTTACGTGGGCAGGTGTTCGGTGAGATGTTTAAAAGTTCAATTGATGTAGAGACACATGTTAATCCTGCGCACCCTCGCCCAATCCTTTTAAGGGGCAAACGGGACATTTGTCCAAGGCCCAAAACTTGAAGGACCCCACAAGAAAATAATACATATAAACACACATTAAGAAAATACTGTTTATCGTTTGGAACCGAGTATGCATCCTGGTGTGTATGTGTGTGTGGAGAGCGGTAGTGTAGCGGTTAACGCGCTGCGTAACATGCTGCGCTACGAACCCGGTGACCCGAGTTTGATTCGCGCTCACGGCCAACACCAGTGACGATTATCTGAACCAGTATAGGCCTCTCCTAGATTGACTCAGCCTCGAATGAGTACTTGGTGTGGTGTATAAACATGACCACTGGGGAGACAAAGGCGGCCGGGCGTGGTGCTGGCTACCCACCCCCTCGTGTGCCATTCTTGCCTTCGTAGGTGCCACTCGCTAACAGCACATGCCCCAACAGTTTGTGTGTAAGGCTAGAGGGGGGATATTTTTTTGGAGGGGGGTAGGCTGGAGTGGGGGAGCTCAATCCAGCCCTGTAGAGCCACTGTGGCGAGACGTTAACTACCTCGCCTGGTATACAGGAGGTCGTGAGTTCGATCCAGACCCTGACGCCTGCTACTGTATATTTGGAGTTTGCGTGTCTCTCTCCCCGTGATCACGTGGATTTTTCTCAGGGTTCTCCGGGTTTTCCCTCCACATTTAAAATCAACATCACGCGTTTAGAGCATTCGACTGCTTAAATTTCCACGCGATAAGCCACTTTGTTGAGCTATCATTTGTGGCCAGGTCGCTTCTGTAATATAGCTAGAGAACTCATTGGGCCTTACCTGGTAAAATAAAAATCGCATGCCTCGTACACTGTACAGTGTGTTTTTAACATGACACATGCGCTGCGGCACGTGGCACGTTAGCCGTGGCGTTTCCACGCCTCCAGTCGAGACCTGGCACTCACCAGGTTCTCATGGCACAGTCCCTGGAATTGCTGGAATTTTTGGCACATGAGCAGTCGCGCACTTCCCACTGCACTGCGGATCTTCCCCAAGACTGCAGGAGAGCACGCACCACAGCACACACAGCACACACAGCACACACAGCACACCCAACCAACACCCTTGTCATGTGCACGGTACAGCCCTCTAGGTCGACGCAGGTCGATGCAGAAACTGGGATGATCACTCGTGTTAACCGTAGAAAGGTTGGTATGCACTAGATGGATACTACAATGTATGTTAAACGTAGCCAACCGTGCTCATTGGAGGTGTAGGGGAAGGACGACAAACTAAACACAAAAAGCAGTACGGAAGAAATAAGTTTTCAATCGAGATTATTTAAAAGTTCATAGCTCAAGCAACTTCCTAATATCGGAAGGAAGAGCATTCCAGACGGCCGCAGATGCGCATCTGAAAGCGTGCGATGCGGTGACCGTCTTTGTTTGATGACCAACTAATAGCTACTATGAGGATGACCGGAGTTCACGTGATAGTTTATGCTCCTTGACGAGATCAGCAAGGAATTGTGGCTCATTTGTGGCAAGCACTTTGTTGTGTGTAGTGAGTGCGACCTTGCAACGTGTTCGTTCGGCAACCCGGAAGCTAATGTAGCTCTGGGAGCAACTGGACGGACACAGTCGGGTCTTGCAGTACCCGTCACGACACGTGCCAAATAATTTTGGACACCCTGCAGCTTGCTAACGTTTTCTTTTGCCAGACGTCCTGTAGAGGAGTGAGTTGGCAAATATCGAGCCTTGCCGCAATAATCGAGCCTTGTCATCACCGTCATTCAGTGTGACCCACGGAATTCACTATCCATCAGTAACGAGAGGCTTCCCCATCCACCTACCCGACTACACGGAAAAGAGGAAGATGCGCGGATTGCGTGGAATTTGTGATTCATAGGACACTAGATAAGAGTATCGTGACAATAAATATAACCATCATCCCATCGTGGACTCGTTGAAGGCTGCCAGATGAAAACGGTAATTAAATGAGCCAGCCTCACATAGCCCAGGCGATAAAGCCTCAAGGGCCCACCCTTGCTGCTACGAGTCGTCAGAAGAGTCGGGGTTCATCGTGTGGCAGCCTGACACAAGCTTCTGTCTCAGACTTGTAAACTGCGAGGAGACAGTAAAAACTATGGCACATGCTGGGATTCGATCAAGCCACAAGGGAGGTCATTCACACAGCCACACACACACACAATAAACCTGCAGGGTATCCATTCGCGAGCGTGGAGACAAGGGTGTTTAGTCGTCCTGGAACTGTGTCGGGATGTTACAAGTTTAACTTGATTCTGTGTAACGAGGCAATGACTCTAGAGACGGGGGGATGCAGTCTCACTTGCAGGCGTGACCTGGGTCACAACAACAATGACAAAAACAAAAACAAGAATGGTAAGCACGACAATGAAAGCGAGAACAAAAAATAAGAAAAAAAAATGGCAACCAAATAGAAATCTGCGCAAAAGCAACCTGCGGCTCCGGGAGGACCAGGGAACGGAGTAACTCACTGTCCTCGGGCAGGTCGTTCTCCTCGGCGTCGTTCTCCATCTGCTGGCACCAGCTCTCCATGCGCTCACGCTCGGCCTGCAGCAGCTTGAGGAACCAGGTGCCGTCGCGGCGCCCTGCGCTGGCCCGTGGCGCCGCCAGCAGCAGCATAAGCGGCTCCCGGCTGGCGGCGGCGGCGGCACTGCGCGAGTCCCCCACGCTCGACATGCGCACCTCGGGGGGCGGCGGGGGCGGCGCTCCCCCCGGCCGGCCGCCGGGGCACCCCGGCAGGCGCCAGGGGTCGAACTCGGGTGGGGAGTCGTCGCTCTGCACGTTCTCCTGGCGGCGCATCTCGGCACGCCGAGCGTAGCGCATGAACGCGTCCGTCTCCGAGGAGCGCCGCCGCAGCGGCCCCCCGCGGCAGGAGCCGTCCTTGTCGCGCGCGATGCCGCCGCCGCCGCCGCCCTCGTCCACCGCGTAGTAGCCCTCCGGCTCCAGGTCGGCCTGCACACTCGCCGACACGCTGTTGGAGCGGCCCAGGCGGCCCAAGCTGCCCCATGCGCACAGACAAGTCGTGTTCAGCTTCTGGCGATGGTTCTGCAAAGTTGTTCATTTGTGATTCTTTGAGACGCGGTTGCCGTTTATTTGTAATTGTTTTAGTAATTTATTCGATGTCTTTTCCAACCGTGGCCGGTGAGTTTGAGGTCACAGAGAGGCAGGGGTTTGGCTCAAGGGGGTAGGGGTTAACCACAGGAGGTAGGGGTTGACCCCAAGGGGTAGGGATTGACCGCAGGGGACAGGGGTTGACTCCAGAGCGCAGGGGTGGACCCCAGGGGGCAGCGGTTGACCATAGAAGGCTGGGGTTGGCCCCAGAGGGCAGGGGTTGACCCCAGGGGGTAGGGGTTGACCCCAGGGGGCAGGGGTTGACCCAAGGGGGCAGAAGTTTACCCTAGGGGGCAGGGGTCGACCCCAGGGGGCAGAAGTTGACCATCAGGGGCAGGGGATGGCCCAGGAGGCAGGGGTTGACCTTAGGGAACAGGGGTTAACTTGGCAATTTAGTAGCAGGGGCCCTACGTAGAAGGGGTAAGACTTGTGAAAGCTGCTCATGAACAAGAGCAACCGCCGATGGACATTTTTAAACACCGCGGAGCGCAACGCCTCGTCCAGCGAGATAGCGCCCCTAGTCGTCCCCAGACTGGTTCCCCCCATCACCTGACACTTACCGTCGCTCCTCCTCCACCTGAATGCCAATTGATTGAAAGCGACTCAAGATCTTAGTCTCCTTCTCTGCTTCTGGTACTTGTTCCGGGCCGTCCACCTGCACAGAGGAACACACATCCCTCACTGGACACTGTACGTGCAGCAGCAGCATTCATTATAAATGTCAGAATGAGAATATGTAGTTATATTGGAGGAATCCTTCGAGCTATGAAGCTGTTTTTTCACAGATATCCAGCCGGGGCTGGTCAGAACGTTACAACAAGAAACTACAAAAATCACGATAGGAGTGCAAAGTATAGGAAATGATAAACAAATAACTTTTAAAAAATACAATAACCGTGCACAAACAACGTGCGGCAGAACTAAACTCTTTTTATTTTACCAGGTAAGGCCCATTGAGCTATTTAGAATAATCTAAATAACGGAAGTTTCTAACCTGACAAGCAATGCACTCGTGCGGAACTTCACGCTCTCGAGAGTTTAAACACCCTCTCCCGAAGGAGCGTGCCTCCCTGTGTCTCCCCGTGTCTCTGCCTCCTTGCGTCTCCGTTGAACCAAAGCAAATGTTTCATGGCTAAGTGGAGTAAATTTGCGGACAGCACTAAGTTCCCCATGATGTTTGCGCCCCCCGCCCCCCCACATCGCCCGTGGCTGAGAGGAGTTACACCGCACGAGTAAGATGACCGATGTGTTCCAATAAGAACACAAGGTGGCACAAGTTAAAACAGACGATCGGCTGGGAGCTTGCACACGACTGTGCCCCAGGTGCAATCGTTTTACTTATTTACACTTGGCAACCCGGCTTCACACAGGAGGAGGGCGGCAGTGGCAGAAGCGTCATTGGAAGAAGAAAAAGGAGAATTGTTTGACTGTATGTTATGCAAAGCCGGTGGCGAGGGAGCTTCTCTACACCAAACCGTAGACCGCCGCTGTCCAGCGACTGAGCCATGGGTGCTGACAGGGGGCGCGGGTCATTTGTGCTCGGTAAAAATCTTCCACGTACTTACTGAGGGCCGCAACCTCTGAGTTTCACTCAGATCGTCCGGCAAAGTGGCCAACGTGTTCGTCGGCGATCGGGTGGCAGGCATTGATTATTACCGGATCTGCTACCTGTGTTGTGTTTAATTTAATTGCATAATGCGCAGTTTTATTAATAGACCGAGGCCAATTAGCAAATATGTCTGGGTTTGGTCAGTGGGAGAGATGGAACTTCCATGCTCATGCCTGCATCCCAATCCATACGCTGCGCTGCTCACCACGCCAACAACCATGCCCACGAAGGAAACTTAACCCTTTCCCGTTCTGTTGATGTACATGTACGTCATTATGAAATAAAATAACATTATTGGAACGTCTTCAGGTCGGAAGACGTACCGAGGCTCCCACAAGGCCATGCGTGTGGGCGCGTGGCACAGATTGGTGCCAGCTATCGTAGAGTGCGGGGGTGGTGTCGCTACGGTTCACTGCGGTTAGTAACGACGTCTTTGAAAACGGCGCTATGCCCCTCTAAATAAAATGAACGCTCACCGCTTGCGCGTTCCGAGATTCGGCGGTGAACAAGACACCACCCTGCAACTTGCAGACTTCTCGGAATGGGAAAGGGTTAACATGCTCCTCTAGCATAGCAAGAAAATGCCTTTGCAAAAACTGAAGCACAACCACAAACACTGCAACGTACAGTCGGCGGTGTGCATGAGGCGTGTACCCGTATTGGCGGTGTTTGCATGCGTGCGTACCTATATTATTATTGTGCGTGCGCGCGCGCATACCTATATTGGTGGTGCGTGCGTACCTGTATTCCGATGGAGAGACAGCGAGCGGGCAGCGGCTCGGCCACCACCAGGGTAACTTCCGGCTGCTCCTTCTCCCAGTGCTCGCCGGGGCCGTGCTTTTGAGCGGCCGCCGCCTCCATGGCGACGCTCAGGGCCTTGGCGCTGTCCAGGCTGTCTGAGGAGTTGCTGTAGTTCTGCTGGCCCCACTCGGAGCACGGCGTCGCCCCGGCGGGCCCGCCCGGCGAGGCCTGGTTAGCCCGCGGCAGCACGGTGCGTTGCAGCGGCGAGGGCCGCCCGGCGCCGGGACCCGCCCTGTCGGTGCGGGTGCCGGCCCTCTGGCGGGGCACCGGCTGCAAGGCCGTGGCAGCTGCGCCGTTGCGCCGCTTGCCGGCGCCGGCAGGCTCCAAGTAAGCGTCCTGGACCGACTCGGTGCTGCTTTGCGTCGTGACGGAGATCATCGGCTTGGCCGAACGTGGGGGGATTGGTGGTGGCTTCTTAAATGTTGTTATAGTCGTCACTGAAAGGTAAAACACATTGGTCATTATTATTCCGACTACGCTTGCTTACCCAGGAAAGCCTCACTGAGTCTCAGTTATGTATTTTTAGGAAAGTTTTGCCAAGTTCTTTAATCAGGGGTGGGGGTTGATGTTACTTTGCGTATGTACGCGTGTGTACGTTGAACTTCTTTCGTACCGTACATAGTCAACCGTGCTAATAGGAGGTGGGGGCGCGAAGGACGACAATGTAGAGCGACAGCATCAGCACAACTGTGAACGCCCTCGCAGGCGAATAGACTCGGCAAAAAACGCTGCGCTAAAAAGGCAGAGTGTGTCATAGACAATGTTTTGGGCAAAGGCCCTTCCTCAAAACACACACAGAGGCCAGAAACGTGATAGAGTATAATTGAGAGGTGGGAGGGTATATAATTGCGGTTCTTGAGCACTACTTTTGCCAATGCCGTTGTGGGCCGCGTTGCATGGCAGGCAAACGAGCGGCTTGTTACCGGCGGTGTGACAGATCTGTTGAGAGGTCCGCGCCGGCTGATAGCACGCGCCGGCGCTGGCTCTGATGGTCGAGATGGCGGTCATTGGCGGCGGCGGTGACCCGGAGCGAATGGAGACGCCGTCGCTGCCGTCGGCGTATCCCTCTTGGATGGCTCGCAGGTAGCTGTGTGAGCGCGAGCGGAAGCAGCCAGGCAGGTCCAGGGCCTCCATTGCCTGAGACTCCATTTCACTGAACACGGATTCACACACCGTCTCAAACTGAAACACGCACGCGCACACAGGCAGACACACATAACAGCCACAGATGGAAGTTACCGGTTAATCAAAACGAGTTGTGGGGATCCAAAGTAAAACGAACATCATAATTACTAATAATCCACAGCCCTTTCTCAATATACTGCTGGAAGTAAGCCTTTCCATGGGGGCTGTTTGACTTATATCTTTTTTTATTTTACCAGGTAAGGCTCACTGAGCTATACAGCTTTTTTTCAGAAGCGACCTCACTACAAATGATAGCTCAACGAAGTGGCCTATCACGTGGAAATGTATAGCAGCCAAATAGTCTAAACGCATGTTTATAAATGTGGAGGGAAAACCTGAGGGCCCAGAGATAAATCCACACAACCACTGGATCAGAGACACGCAAAATCCAAATATACAGGCGTCAGGGTGGGGATCGTACCCACGACCTCCTGTATACCAAGCGAGGTAGTTAACATCTCGCCACCGTGCTGCATATAATAAGAGCCGTGACCTAAACAGGATTCGAACTCACGTGGCCAGGTTCATCGCACAATGCACTAGCCACTGCACCACCGCTCCACCCCAGACCCAAAATAGGAAGTGGTAATCATGTTATAAAGAGATCCCATAGCCCTAGATTCGGATGTTGGGTTGCCATCTGTTCGGGTTTTCCCAGTATCCTTTTTTTTAGGCACCTGCTGTCCTACAAATTCTGCACATTTCTTTGGGATATTAAAAGTCCCAGTTTTTCTGCAATTGCTAATAATATATAATAACTCTGGACAATGCGTTTGCTTGCAGTTCTCCCACTCTCCTGATGCTGCGGCAGAGTCTCCTTCCCACGACCTGCCGTGGTGCAAAGCCCCGAGCGAGGTGGCAGCCCTCATCACTAGCTCGGAGCCCCTCCCTTGGCAGGCTCTCTCGGGCCCTGCTCGTCCTCGCAGTTGACTGGGGCTCTGCCATGCTCGCCGCCACGCTTCCTTGCGGAGCCACCGTGGACCGGGTGCCAATCAGTCCTCTCCAGCGAATGCCGGTTGGGCCTGGAAGCACCTCTGCTCATCGCAGGGTCTCTCGGCATATTCGTCATGTTCGCCACGTGCATACGGGGTGTCGCGTGCTCCTGCGCCTGTGTTCATGTCAAAGGGAAGCTCCGTGAGTGGGTTCGGTTGAGGTGTAAAAGGCCGACTCTGGGCGATGTGGTTTTGGCAGCGGGCGAGCGTAGAGCGATCGATCGTGCGGGTTTGCCGACCTGGCTGACGCAGCTGGCCTGACTCACGGTGCTCACTGCTCGCAGGTAGCTCTCGTTACGCGACCGGTACCTGCGATCAGCACACGCACGCACAGTGCATGGTCACAGCGTGGGTCACAGCGTGGGTCACAGCGCATGGTCACGTGCTTGGTCACAGCGTGGGTCACAGCGCATGGTCACAGTGCTCGGTCACAGCATGGGTCACAGCGTGGGTCACAGCGTGGGTCACAGCGTGGGTCACAGCGTGGGCCAGAGTGCTCGGTCACAGCATGGGTCACAACGCTCGGTCACAACACGAGACGCGTCAGACACCCGCGAGACACAGCGAGTCGCAACGCAAGACATGAGACACGATGAGTCACAGCGAGCGACAGCATGAGCCACTTGCCGACTGGGAGTGCGGAGAACCCGGTTTACCTGTCGGCGGCGTGCTCGCTCATGGTGCGCTGCCCGGTGGCCTTGAGGTAGCTCTCCCGCCGCGAGGCCCCTTTGGGGGACACCTTGGGGCTGTCCGACTCCCCGCCGCTGTCCTCGTCGCCCATCGCCTTGATGTAGCTGCCGCTCCGCATGCGTCTGCAAGGGATCTCGTCCTCCTTCCCGACGTTCCATTCCTCCTTGGGCACCTGTGACACAAGCGGACACTTCTGCATTAAGATTGTTTTTTTTTCCGGCCGTGTGGACACAGAGGGGGGGGGGGGGGGGGCAAGGTGGTGGGGGGGGACTGGGGTGCCACCTGTCTAGGTTTGACCCAGACAGTCCAGCAATCGGCATGTGTTCGTCTGATAGAAATTGATTGGGGTGCTGCGGTGGCGAGATGTTATCTCCCTCGCCTGGTATGCATGAAGGTAGTGGGTTCGATCCTGACCCTGACGCTTGAATATCTGGAGTGTGCTTACTCTCCTACCATGGTCGAGTGGATTTTTATCGGTGTGCTCCGGATTTTCCCTTCACATTTAGATTCAATGTGCGTTTAAGAGTATCTGGCTGCCATCAATTTCCACAAAAGCCACTTCGTTGAGCTATCATTTGTGGTCAGGTCGCTTCTGAAAAAGAACTACACAGCTCAGTGGGCCTTACCTGATTAGATAAAATAGGTAAAAATTGGTAATTGGATTTGCACCGAGCCCCTGGCAGCGGTCTCGCTGTGTTGATCTCTATTTGTGTCGAGTAGTGGTAGTGTCATCTCCCATTCCAGGCGTTATCCTGGTGCCACAGCATTACAGCACGGCTGTGCCATGTGGGCTGTAAGTCGCAACTAGCTTTACGTGGCGCCGAGGGCTGTCGATAGGGGGGGGGATATAGGAATCAAGGGCCAGTGGCACCATCTTTGTTTTTGTGCGGCAAGCTGGCATGGTCGGGCAGGGCACGGCGCCCCATGATTCTGCACAGTTGCTTAGAAGCCGGTTGCAAGTCTGTTGTAGTTTTCCGCTTTAAAACGTTCGAAAATGTACGCGCAAATGCGCTCAATGGGGATCGTACACACACACGGCAATCGTAGCCCCCTGCCAGAAGACCACTGGCAATTTGCAAACCAGGTACTGTGCTGAGTCACGTATCCACAGGGGCCGCTGCCACTGGGGGTGGCATCTCTTGTGTTTATGATGAGACGGGGTATAAAGTTCTCTCAGATGCTCGGTGCATAGCGCGCTTCGTCAAAAACTAAATCACGATAGTGTGTGTGTATAAAATGCAGTAGAATATCATTACACCGTGTGTGTATTAAAAGTTTACAATGCATATGCATAAAAGCGCCACTTTCAGCTCTGGGCATGGGTGATTCCAGGCAGGAGATTGAGTGACCCTTGAGGCCTGCTGGCTGAAGTCAGGAACTTTGACTCGGTTATGCGAGGGCACCACGATCTCGAGATATTAATTCCCTCGCCTGGTATGCAGGAGGTCATGGGTTCGATCCCGACCTTGACGCCGGCTGCTGTATATTTGGGGTTTGCGTCTCTCTTTCCCCGTGGTCACGTGGATTTTTCTCCGGGTCCTCCGGTTTTTCCCTCTACATTTAAAACATGCACTATAGAGTATTTGTCTGCGATACATTTCCACGTGATGATAAGCCACTTCGTTATCATTTGTGGCCAGGTCGCTTCTGAGAAAGCTCAGTGGGTCCTACCTGGTAAAGTAAAAAAAGTTTAGTTCTGCCGCACGGTCATCGGTGTTCCCAGCTCCTAACACGAAACACGGGGACACTGCTGCTTGTTATAGTTGAGTTCGAAAGAAATTCAGCAGACAGGCAGTCCTCGGCTCACCAACACAATTCGTTCCTGAGAGCCGTTCGTAAGTCGGAACACAATAATGTACTGTATTTAAATGCCCATACGGTCAGTGTTGGGTATTTATATACGCATTGGGATCCTAGGGTGGAATGCGCATTATAAATTTGAATTCTTATTTTTAAATGTGTTATGGTTCAACAAGGGAAGCATTGTTACACTCATAATTAAGAATACATATTGTACATTTGCATGTAGCACTATAAAGAAATACTATATAGTAAACAAAGCATTAAATTAACATAAATATGTAATGGGCTCGAATTAGGCGCACTCACAACTTCTTGGAAGGCAACACTATTTATTGTTAATACAACGCAACACTTAACATAGGTTGGTGACCACCGACCTATTCTCGTTAACACACATCACTCACTAGCACCGACTCTCGGATACAACTCGCGTGTCCAAGCTAGGAGGGCTACTGGCTGGTCACGCTGACTTGAGGCTTGACTCTTCTTCACGAGGTGTCTTCCTGACGCATCTTCTTTCTTGACACGAGCAGCCTCGAACCCGGTGCGGAGGCCGCTTATATGCGCCTCGGCGTGTCCGGGCCACATCCCGGCCACGCCCACCTTCGAGAACTCTCGAGAAGGCTCCTCTCCTGTCCACGTGACTCACAGGGTGCCCCAGGGGCCCCCGGCCCCCACCTTGATCCGGTCACGTGTTCAGCCGGGTTCACTCAAGAGTGCCACGGCCTCACAATACCCCCTGCGGCCCTGACGCACGGCCTCCAGATCTCCCGAACCGGCCGTGATGTCATTCCCGCGTCCAGCCGTGATGACGTCATGTGTATGCGTGTGTACCCGCGTGGTAGTAACGCTCCCTCGCGTAGTGACGTCACACGCGTGTGTTATTGTGTAGTGAGGCTACAAGTCACTACAAATATAAGGAAAAAAATTGTTGCATTTTCACTTACCTTGAGTCCTAATGCTGGCTTGCTTGTCGGAAGCGGGGAAATGAGTCACCACAATTACACATGCAACAAAGATCCCCCGTATGGACTGAGCACACTGTTGGGGCAAGTGCTGTTAGCGAGCACCTATGAAGGCCAGAACGGTACACGAGGGGGTGGGTGGCCAGCACCACGCCCGACCGCTTTTGTCTCCCTAATGATAATGTTTACACAGCACCAGGTGCTCTTTTGAGGCTGAGTCGACCTAGGGGAGGCCCAGGACCGGTTCAGATAATCATCACTGGTGTTGGCCTATGAGCGAGATCCAAACTCGGGTCGCCACTTTCGTAGCACAAGCAGTAGGGGGCGATGTTGCTACACCTAATCGGATGATACGAAGGGAGAGTTTGAGGCCTAGTTCTAGGCTTTAGGCCTAGCTGTAGGCTTTAGGCCGCTGTTAGTTAATTTTTAATTTAAATGTTTCAATTATTAATGTAAAAGTTTGTAATTTAAATGTTTCTATTTAAAAACATCAGGGAATGTAACATTGTTAAACATTAACTCCCTTTCACACACGCGGGGGTACGATACGAAGGGAGAGTTTGAGGCCTAGTTGGAAGCTTTAGGTCTAGCTGTAGGCTTTAGGCCGCTGTGAGTTCATTTTTAATTAATTTTATTTATTTATTAATGTAACAGCTTTAAATATAAATGTTTCTATTTAAAAAAAACATCATGGAATGTTACATTGTTAAACATTAACTCCCTTTCACACACGCGGGGGTACGATACGAAGGGAGAGTTTGAGGCCTAGTTCTAGGCTTTAGGCCTAGCTGTAGGCTTTAGGCCGCTGTGAGTTAATTTTTAATGTAAATGTTTTAATTAAAAGCTATCTCAGGGAATTATAAGGGAATGTTACACTTGTTTAGCCAGGATAAATGTTTTAATTAAAAGCTATCTCAGGGAATTATAAGGGAATGTTACACTTGTTTAGCCAGGAAAGCGTCACTGAGTCTAAAGGTTTTTGTAGGGTCCTGCCAAGTGTTTGCAGTAGGGGGCGATGTTGCTACACGGACGGACGGACGGACGATATAATCTATTGTAGGCTGGTTCACTTCGTTCCTACCAGTATAAGTGTTGCCTCTACTTCAACGTCTCGGTCGTCACGGTGCCCACTACACAGGCATACACAAAGATCCCCAGTATAGCCTTAACAGACTGTAGAGGCAAGTGCTGTTAGGGAGCACCTATGAAGGCCGGTACGGTACACGAGGGGGTGGGTGGCCAGCACCACGCCCGACCGCCTTTGTCTCCCCAGTGGCGATGTTTACACACTCCACCAGGTACTCATTTAAGGCTGAGTCGACCTGGGGGAGGCCCAGGACCGGTTCAGATAATCGTCACTGGGTGTTGGCCGTGAGCGGGAATCGAACTCGGGTCGCCAGGTTCGTAGCGCAGCGCACTAACCGCTACACTACCGCTCCCCTCGGGCATACACACTCACTTTCACACACACGCATACTCACTTTCACACACTCACTTTCACACACACGTGTGCATGCACACACAAACACTCACCACCAGCGTGAGGCCGACTCACTACATATTGCAGAGGATCGCTTCTCTGAACAAAATAGTTCCATCCACGATTCAATTTGCAAGTGAGAGTTCGCGGTTTAAGTCCATGTTCATTTTTGTTATATTCCGTGGAAGCTGGTTCGTTAGTATGGGTGTTCGTAAGTGTGGGTGTTCATAAATATGGGTGTTCGTAAGTATGGGTATTCATAAGTGGAGGTTTTCGTAAGTATGGGTGTTCGTAAGTTTGGGTGTTCGTAAGTTTGGGTGTTCATAAGTATGGGTGTTCATAAGTATGGGTGTTCGTAAGTATGGGTGTTCGTAAGTATGGGTATTCGTAAGTGTGGGTTTTCGTAAGTATGGGTGTTCGTAAGTATGGGTGTTTATAAGTATCGGTGTTCATAAGTGAGGGTGTCTGTAAGTATGGGTATCCGTAAGTGAGGATGTTCATAAGTACGGGTATCCATAAGTATAGGTGTTCATAAGTGTGGGTGTTCGTAAGTATGGGTGTCTGTAAGTCGATGCCTGCCTGTACATACAGACGTGGTGGCGAGCAATGTGGGCACAGGTTGGGCACGCGGCAGTGCCACACGGAGAGCTCACATGGACCTGCGCGGCAGAGGGCCCCTCTCTCCCCCGAGAGCCCCCCCCCAACTCCCTACCCCCCACCGCCTGAAGCCGACTCCATGGTGAGCCGAGCGACGCTGCACACACCACGGGGTTTTGACCACCTCCATCTCAGTCAAGGGCCCGGGAGAATATTTCCCCATCCAGCACAACCACCACCAACCATCAAAACGTCCAGAATACCTCCTGCGATGGCCATAGCCTGCGAGTTGTGTGCCACCTACTGCAGTTACCAGCAGGCTGTTGA